TCACGATACTGTGAAACAAACTTTTTGTCCAAGGATATCATACCGAAATGTAAAATATGGAGCAATCACTTGCTTTTATCAATGCCTTATCATATAGCTTTACCCTGCCCCTTTTCGCAGCATCATACAACAGAACTTCGCAAGCACAAACTCTAGTGTGACCGTGGCTTAAGTGTTTTTAAGAAGATGTCTGGTGCATATGGAGAGGAAAAAACTAAAATGTGTTAACTACAGGAATACAAAAGACTATTCAGTTCACAACAAGAAAGACAAATATGATGATAAATATACTAGCATCCGCACCAACAAACAACGTCATTCTCTACAGATGGCTGTAGGTTTGTCACCGGCTCTTTAAATTGTGATGATTGGCTGTAAATGTCTGTAATCGTTCTTCAGCTGAAAATAATAACACATTTTGAAACTCGTCTAATGTTGTAGTAATCTTACTTGGTGTGAATGAGCCTTTATATAACGGCATTCTCAGCGTTTTGAATATTTTGAAAAAATTAATAATCCTTTAGTGCGTTTTCTCTTGCGTTATGATTTGGTCAGTTACCTGTATGTGCCTGTATACACATTTGCTGACTTTATAGGCTCTTTTCTGCTTGATTTATTAAAAATTGTCAATGTTTAGTATTCTAAAAAAAAAATATTTCTGGTCTGACCAATTAGTGCCGGCCAAAACATGACAATAATTGATCATTTCCAGCAGTAGTAATCAGCAAAATATGCAAGTTTCATCCAGTTCATTGGCATTGTTTTGTTGTTTTCAAACATCCATCATAAAAACCCAAATTTTACCTATTCAGATATAATACTTCTACTCTAAATATGCATATATTGCAAGGGTTCTGATCATTCTGTTTGTTTTATTGCATATTAAATTGGTTCTGTTTAATAAAAGCACTGCACTTTAATAACAAACAACCAATTCCATCTTGAATTTGCATTAATTAAGTTGCACAAAATCTTATTATGATTCACATTCCTTATTGCCAAATCCACGATTTTATAGGAAATTGTGATTTCACCATAATCATTTTCAGGAGCACTTTATAATAATAGATTTACTAGTGCTATATCTGTTTAGCCATAGTAAATTTACTATGCATTAAGAACATTACATTATTCAATCTAATGTCCACTTTTAAAGGCTAAAATAATTGATTGTGATCCACAATCATTGAGATTTCACTCCAATATATACAGATAAAGCTTAACTAATTTAGCTTGCTGCTATTATGTGCAATATATTTGTTACTATATTTATAAATCTTATCAATCTTTGTAAATAGATTTACAACTGTTCTTTCATGTCGGTAGCTAATCTGAACAGTTAAATGTTGTCAATGCCTACGAATAACAAATGATTTACAAGTATTATTCATTTTTAGTAATGTAATAATTAATGTTTACAAATAAAAGCTTGTATAATGCTTCCTAATATTCTTGAATAAACATACGTTTCAGACAAATAAATACTAAATACAGTAGAGGGCTCATTCATAATAACTGAAAAAATTTAGCTAAATATACACAGGATTTTCATAACCTTAAATGAACTAGTCATAGATTAAAAACTAAACGCTACAATTTATACACTCCACAATTAGTCAGTTCTTAAAACTTCAAATTTACCCACTATTTATTCTCCATACCTTAATGAGTTTCTTTATCCTGATGAAGAACACTAAAGAAGATATTTTGAAGAAAGCTGAAAATCTGCAAACATTTGCTTCCATAGTAGGAAAAGCCAAACTAAAGCTCACCCAGAGCAAAGCATTCAAAGCACATTGCAAACATTTAGTAAATAGAAGATTAACAACTTTGTCTAGACTTTGACTGATCATGTTTTAATCATCGGTGTTAGTTTCATATTTGCACATGTTCCTTAATAACATAATTTTAGTAATATTTTTTTACCTGACCAGTCAGATAAGATATTTTTACAATGGAGAAACAAAGGATTAACCAGACACCAGAGTCAAAGATTTTTATATAGATGGGAAATTTGTTTCATCTGAACACCTGTTTAAAGCTGTTAATCTTTCTCAGTCACCATTTTCCCACTATTTACAGGTGCGCCACTACATAAAACATTCTTTAACTGAGTTTCAAGAACTGCCACAGGACCATAATATATACAATCTTTTGTGTAAACCTCCTATGGCCAAACATTTGGTAACGCAGTTTGTTTCTTTCTTTGTCTGCCAATTTGCTTTGTCTTCTGATCACCATAAATTGTCATGGAAAAAAGATATTGGAGTTAACATTTCAATTGATACCTGAGAAGAGGGGCTGAAGCGAATTCATACCTGTTCTATCAACGCTAGATTGCAACTCCTACAGTTTGAAGTGGTAAATATAGGCAACATTATACCAAAACTAATCTCAATAAAAATGCTCCCTTCAGTTTCCCTGTTATGTGACAGATGCAAAAGTTCAGATGGACCGTATGCTCATATTTTTTGGGTTTGCCCTGAGATCCCAGAGAATAATTTTCTGTTTTATTCAAATGTTTTAGGAGAAAACTTTAGTCCAGATATTGAATTAGCCCTGTTTGGATGCTGTGACCCTGTTAGCATGGTCAAATAATCAGCAAATGTCTATTATGTTTGGTATGGTGGTGGCTAAAAGGGTGATCTTGATGGATTGGAAGTCCACTCTACCACCTACTTACTTCAGAAATGGCTGACTAAAATTGTTCTTAAAGGGTCACGAAACACCAAAACACATTTTTTGAGCTGTTGACAGTCGTATATGTGTCCCACACTGCTAAAAACACTATTAGGACACCTATATTTCACTAAAAAGTGTAAATTGGTTGTTTTTGCGTTATTTTAAGCAAATTCGTACTTCCTGTTTGAAACGAATTTTTGAAGCTGCGTCACGGTCATGACATAATAGCGTGTATTCCAGCGTGCAGACTGGATGTCTGTGCCTGAGTGAGTCTTATTACGTCTTACAGTGTGATACATTAATGCATGAGTAAGGCTTGGGTCAAACCAATCAGCGCACTCTATTGTGCAACTTCATTAATATTCATTACTATCACCGTGTTTTCAGGACAGAGACGCCATGTTGTGTTGGCAAAACAAGCGTGAAGTGTTGCTTTTATAGTTTGCTGCAGTTAAGTTTCGTTTTCATTTTCTCTCTGTGAGAGCTCAGACTCACGTGTGGATTACAGTGTACGCGACGCGCGACAACAATAACTTACGTGTCTAAGGAGGATTATTGTTTACCTGAGAGCTGTTCTCATCTGCAAACGCTGAGATCTGGAATCGTTTGTAGTATTCTCTTCATAAAGACGCGGCTCTAGTTGCTGGTGATTGTCCTGTCTCTACAGATTTGGTAAGTGAGCGACCAGTGCTCTTTGTTTATTCAGTTTGTTCGTATCTAACAAACTATTGCACAGAGTGTAAACACGTTAGCACCACAACCAAACTTTAACCTCGTGTAGGGTTTTTACCGCATTTAGTGACCGGAATAACACGCGCGGCTTTCTGACACTACCTGTCGTGTGCATCTAAGTTTCTGGGAAATGCAGAGGGTTTTTTTCTCTCATTCGCCGTGCGGTATAAAACATTGCATGAAAAATACACGCTTAGAGCAGCTCCTCGAATCAAATGTCTCGTGTGTCGCGAGGGACATGAATGAATTCCCTGAATGAAAGAGCCAAACTGCAGTTAAAGTCCACCATTTAATAATTTGGCTAATAATTCGACTACAGATGTCCATGTAGGTTAAACACCATCACATTCTCCTGTATGTATGTGTGTGTGTGTGTGTGTGTGTGTGTATTTTGACTCTGAAACTCGCGCGTGCCCAAATCGACACTCCCACACCCTCCCACTTTAGTTCCTCCGACACTCCCCCCTAAACAGATCTGGACACGCCCACTTTTCTGACTTTTTCCAAAGAAGAGGTGTGAAAACACCCTGCTGAAACGAGGGGGTTTCATGGCCCTTTAAGCTTGAAAGAATTTGTTTTGCTAGGGCAGATGCTTCTAAACAGCTTGAAAAATCTGGGGCTTCTTCCTTGCATTTCTTTTTTTAAGAGTTGTAAGTAGGATTCTTGGACATTTTTGCTCTTTCTTTTCCACTCCATTTTTTAATGTTTTGAGTTTGATCAAGTAACACCTAATAGTGTATATGATTTACTCTATATGGAGCATGTTTGGATGGACTGGTTTTTGTCAGTTTGTCTGCACACTGTAAAACAGTCAACTTTATCAAGCAAAATGAGTGTAGCTAACTCAAAATGTACTGCAAGTTCATTTGAAAAGAGTTTTGAACTAGGCGTTGAAGATATTGAGCTAATTAAACCTCATTACTTCATCTTAAATGGAGGAAGTTCACAGTACTCATAGATTAGTTTTTAACTCAAATGCTTTATTGCAATCGGTTTCCTAAAACGGTTTGAGTCGCTTTAATTTATTGTTTTTTTACAGTACTAAGTTGGTTTGAGTTCTCTTTTTTTACTGGGTTTTACTGTGCTCAAATTGCTTCATTACACAAATGGATTAAGATCACAGTACCCATTAGGATTAGTTTCTGAACTTAAATGGTATGTTGAAATCAGTTTCCTCAAACAGTTTGAGTTACCTTAACTTTTTAGATTTACAGTGTATTTTTTCTTATCACTTGTATAAAATGATTGTGTAAATGTTTTGTTCTGTTTTGTACTTATAAAAATCTGTTATGAGTAAAATAATAGAATTTTAGAAAAGTATCTTTTGAAGTTTCAAAATAGGGAAATCATATTAGCAGCCAATAAATGACTATTAAAGCACAACATTGTTCAGAGTCGGTTGGTGCTGCTAATGTTGTTTTGAAGTCATACTTACATGCGATTTCAGACCGAATATTTAAAGTAGCATGGTGAACACAAAATAGGAACTGTGACACTAGTTGTCAGTGTTCAAAAATGAACGAATGTGTTAACATAAAACCAACTATACCTCAATATATTGATCTAGTTTAATCTATTCTCTTTACCTCCAGTTTGTGGTTGAGCTGGAAGATGGTTTGTGCTTTATGGCACAACTGAGCAAAACACGAGCTGAGACTGGTCATCTTCTGGCGGCCCTCATACGTGATATCAGCCTGATCCGGATCGATCTCTCCCAACAACAGATCCACGTCCACAAATGCCTTGTCAAACTCCTTCTCCAACACCTCCAGCCACCGGAACATGGACATACCGGAGCCGGTAGCCGCAGCCGGGCCGGCGGAGAGGCCCGATCCCGGTGATCCAGCACCGCCAGCGGACGCAGACATCTTCAAGACTGAGACAGGGGGGAAAACTCACGGAGAACTCGAATGTAGTCCTTCAGTAGGATAGATCAGTTGGTTTATGCTAATGATTGACTTCTGCTGTGTTACAGAGTCAGAGTGATGTTTAGCTGAGGTGTTTCCCGTGCTCTCATCTGACCAGGAAATCCGAGATCGAACAAGTCAACAACGCGGATTGATTAGTCGGGTCTGCCACACGATGAGGTAAGCAGTCGAATGATGAGCGAATCGATTTTTTTCAGGTTTTTGAGGTTATTAGCTTTTTTTTTTGGTCATTTACCGGACTTTTTAAAATTATTTTTTATTGACTTATATAAAAAAAATCTAACATTTATTATGGTACTTTTGATATACTCAATTTTTTATATGCTCAACATAAGATTTACTTTGGTACTTTTGATATACTCGATATATTTGGAGCAATGTTGAAGTTTCTAGAATTGCAAGTTTTTTGAAATGGAAGAAGAAAAAAAAGGGAGTTGCTTTTCGGCTTAGTCCCTCTATTAATATTAGGTTGCCACAGCAGAATGAACCGCCAACTTATTCAGTATTACGCAGCGGATACCCTTCCAGCTGCAACCCATCACTGGGAAACATCCATACACTCACACATTCACACTCATACACTACGTACAATTTAGCTTACTCAATTTACCTATACCGCATGTCTTTGGACTATGGGGGAAACCGAAGCATCCGGAGGAAACCCACGGGTTCACAGGGCAAACATGCACACTCCACACAGAAATGCTTACTGACCCAGCCGATTCTCGAACCAGCGACCTTCTTGCTGTGAGGCAATCGTGCTACCCACTGCGCCACCGTGATGCCTGTGGAAGTTTTATCGCTCCTATTTTAAAAACATTCATTATCATCTAAACATGTGATTTTGGGCTTATTATGTCCTCTTTATAGAATGCTGGTTTTATTAGAAACTTTATTTTATTATGATGTTAATTTTTCATTCATAAATGCTAAAAAGTGATTATCATATCATCTATACATATATGATGTCTAAAAATAAAAAAGTAATTAAAACAATTAATACTGATTATGCTCCTTTAACATTTTAACATATCATGGATTAAGCTCTAAAACTTTATAGCGGATATATTTTGTCTAGAAGTATCTGCAATAATTACTTTTTAAAATTATTTTTATTTTATATAGTTTTACTTTATATTTGTTCTATTTAATTTTGTTTTATGTTTGGGTTATATATATGTTTATGCATTTGTTTTTAACTTTTTAAATGACTTTGAACTTTTATTTGTAACTTTAAATTTTACAGTAATGATGACATGTTTATTTATTGATTGATTGATTAAACTATGTTAGGTTATTTAAATACATTAATAAAATAAATTGTACAATTTATGACATTTATGTATTTTTTTAGATTCTTTAAAGATATTAAGAGCAATGTTGAATTTTACAATAAATGATTATGATGCATGCTGTTTATTTAAGTATTTATTTGTTTACTTATTGAACATTTTATTGATTTTTATGTTTTTTAAATATATTAATAGCTCTGCTCAATCATACAATAATTATTTATATTATTTATTTTATTTATTCATTTATTTGTTTATTTATTTATTGGCTTTTTTTAAATCACACAGATGTATATATATTTCAGGGATAAGACAAAATAATGTAAAGTTTTAATAATACCCAATTAGTAATAGAATAAAAATATAACTTTTTATATATTGAGAAAAAAATAATAATATTACAAAAAAATTTATATATATATTTAAGACCTTAATTAAATAATTAAAAATCAAGGCATGGTCATATTTTATTTTGGTAAAATAAGCACAATCTAGAGGCCTTTGCCTTTCATATAAGCCACTTCTGGTACCAAATGATCGACTAGAAGTCAAGTTATTATTAGTTGTTTCTAAAATTGTAAAAGGCGACAAGACAGAAGTCTGGTAGTGTATAAAACTTTAAACTTTGTTTTGTAATTAGGAAAATAAAATGCCAAGCATGAATCTGGCTCTGCTAGTTAAGCCTTATGTGCAAAATGCAACTTCAGCACACACAGAGGTGTGCGAGGTTGTGTTTTCATAACGAAGATGTTCTGAGCGATAATGTGTGTTTTGCTTTAACATGAGCCAGAACAGAGACATGCGGGTTCACCAGTGCTCTTCTCAAACAACAGCAAAATAAACCTGATTTTATTGCTGTTCAGGATTTCATTTAGCTGTTCCACAATCTTAACTAACTAACTAACTAACTAACTAACTAACTAACTACACTGTAAAAAATATCTGTTAATTAATAGTTTCCGTATTTTGTGATTCACAAGTGTTTTCCATTTATTTACGGTTGTGAATTGCATTATGGGAGCTTGATCTTTGCTCTGTCTACTTTTGATGTTGAAAATGTAACTCTACAGTTTAACAAAGTCAATTTTATTGACATTTTAGTAGTTTGAAATAATATAATGTATAAGAAATATTATGTAGAGAAATACGTCTGCAAAATAGCAGAAAATGTACTGCCAGTTTATTACAAGGTTTTTGTAGCGTAATATACATCACCATCCAGACAATATCACTTTAAACTATTCAAAATGTTACCAAAAGTCACATTTTTGAACTTTTTAAGGTACCTTAATGCAAGTCACAAACATAAATAAATGGGAGAAAATAAAAACATGAATCACAAAATACAGAAAACTGATCATTTACAGAGATTTTTTACAGTGTAACTTGCTAAGCATTAGTTTTAAGTGGATGATTTTTGCTGAATATCCAGTTTTACTTAATAGTGAATTAGAAAATGTCTGTAATATTAAGAGAATGTTCTTCAAATTGATAGTATTATTGTTGTTGTTGTTGTTGTATAATTGAGAAATATCTGGCAGCTAGCTCTCTGCAGCTCTCACATGGTTGCCCGCTGAAGCTATGCAAGGCTGTGTCCTGTCCGGTCAGTACCTAGATGGGAGACCATATGGGAAAGCTGGGTTGCTGCTGGCAGAGGTGTTAGTGAGGCCAGCAGAGGGCGCTCAATCTGTGATCTATGTGGGTCCTAAAACCCCAGTATATTGATGGGGGATTCTATACTGCTCAGTGAGTGCTGTCTTTTGAATGAGATGTTAAACCGAGGTCCTGACTCTCTGTGGTCATTAAAAATCCCAGGATGTCCTTCAAAAAGAGTAAGGGTTTAACCCTGGCATCCTGGCCAAATTTGCCCACTTGGCCAAATTTGCCCATCATGGCCTCCCAACCATCCCCATATGATAATTGGCTTCATCACGCTGTCTCCTCTCCACCAATCAGCTGGTGTGTGGTGTGTGGTCTGGCACAATATGGCTGCCGTCGCTTCATCCAGGTAGATGCTGCACGCTGGTGATGGATGAGGAGAGTCCCCCTTCCGTTATGTAAAGCGATTTGAGCGTCTAGAAAAGAGCTATATTAATGTAAGGAATTAATATTAAGTAATTAGTTTTCATTCATGTAGAATATATATTTTTATTGTTTATTTGTATCTTTGTCTTCATTTTAATTATTGTGTATATGTGCATACTTTTGACATTTTTATTAGTTTTTTTAACGCATATTTTTTATTCCTTCGTATAACGTTTATACCCATTCAGGTTGTAGTTATTTTAATTTCAAGTTAAACTTGGTCTAAACATATGCAGCTGAAATTAAACTATTTTAAGTTTTGTATATTTCAGAAATTGTATTAATTTATAGGTCAGATATTTTTCAGGTTTGCCCAGACTTGAAGAAGCAACTTTGTCATTTTGTGAGCTGGAGCAGATCAGCTTAAGTGTGTTCAAATGAGATCTATCTAAAAAACAAACAAGCAAGTGCAGTTTCCCCCATGGCCTGCCCTCAGGTCTGAAGATCCTCTTTCTGGGCCACAACAAGACACACAGCTTGCATATGGAGCTCCTGAAGGCCCTCCAGAAACAACCAGATTAGCTCCTGCATTCAAACATGACATTTCTGGAAAAGCTTGATTGTCTGTAAGTGTTGACAACCCTCACAAGACAATGATTTGCTAGATCATTCCACAAGACATGTTTAAAAAATTTGTTTAAAGAGATTTGAACCATGAAACCAACCATTTTAAATAACAAAGCTGTACAATTAAACCAAACTGAGTCAATTAATCCAAATCCAAACCGAGTCAAGTGTAACGTAAGTTTGGCTTTGTGCTTATATTTTTATCTGTCATGTTATTAATATTACAAAAGCAAGCAAGCAAAAGCAGTGCACACTTTGAGGAGTTAACCAGGCGATGTGTACTCTGTTGAAATAGTTGGGTTAAAAATACCCCAACCTATAACCCAACTTTAGGTTATTATAGCTCCTTCTCAAATATAGGTTATTTTTAACCCAATGCATTGGATTATCTAATTTAACCCAATGCATTGGTTTATTTTGATTAAATGTTGTTATTTTTTCCATTCTGGTATTACTATTGCTACTATTACTAGTGCTACTATTGATTTTATAATAATGGCTGGCTAAATAAAAAATGTATAAAAATATTGAAAATGCTTTATTTCCATTTCATTTTAGTTCCAGACACTTTTGTTAAAATAAATCAGGAATTACAAACAATGAAGAACAAAGTGCAGACAGTTATATACTGTGCAAGCAGAAAATCATGTACAGAATATGGAGCTCTGTGTGTGCTGTAGAGGCTGTCCAGCAGCAACAGCAGGCTTCACTCAGTGTCCACAATGTGCAATACATTTTAACCACATCCAAACGCTTCGAAAAGATGGTCTTGGAGGGTAAAACAGATATAAAAACCACGACACAGAGGTAATTTGTTTAAAAAAAAAAAAAAACAAAATGATTGCGTTATAGCTTAAATCAACTTTATAATGCAAAAACAAGATTATGCACGCACAATACAGCTGTTTTGTGTCAGTTAAATCAGTTGATAGTAGAAATTCTAAATTTTAACCCAACTGGCAACTGGTTGAGTTATTAAATAAACACCCAAAATAAAGGTTAAAAATAACCCAACAAAGCGCCAAATATTTAACTCAACTGGTTGAGTTATTAATAAATAACCCGATAAAGGATAAAAATAACCCAACAAAGCACTAAATATGTTTAACTCAACCATAGGGTTAAATAAATAACTCAATGTTTTTTTTAGAGTGCATGTAATGTAAGCTTCTTTTCGAAATATTTACATACATATTTAAATTTAACGTTAATATTTTTGAAGTAAGGAATTTGTTAATAGATAAAGTGTTAAAATAGTATGTGAAATATAAAGTTGCAGTGTTGTCTGAAATAATAATTTAATAAGCGTTAAAAGTTGTTTCAATGAAAAAAAAATTACATAGATATATAAAGTATATTTTAAAGTAAAAAAGCTGAACGTTTTATATTTATAAATCAAGTTAATATGATTTACACATATTCTATTACCGGAACAGCAGCCAATCACATTTCACCATCTCACGAATGCTAAATCAGTGTATTTGATTTAGTTCTGAGATCAGCCTTCGAGTGTTCTTCTCCCATCAGTCTCTTCCAGGGCAGTCCTTAAAACCGATCTCAGAACAGCGCTTTGCATGACCTGCTGACGCTCTCTCATCTGTCCAATCAGAAAGCTCCATGTCACACAGCAGCGGGTTCAGAGTGGAAAGGTTGCCAGGATGAAGAAATGGCAGCCGACGGGCTGCGGTGTTGGCACTGACCAAAATGGCAATTTTCTGTGTCCACCAACGCTCATAAATTCACGCACTACTTTAATATGAGGAACACACGCAAAAATACGATACGAAAATTAAGCTAGGAAGGCGTTTGAAGACGTTAACGCGATGGCTTCGCTGTATGAGATGGTGTGGCGGTTTTTGCACGCGCTGTTGTATCTCCAGCGCGCGATTGTCGCCTGGTTCCGAGTCCACATCTGGAGGTGGAAACTGGCCGTGGTGGACTTATTATTGCCCCTTGCCCTTGGCTTTCATAACCAGAAAAAAACAGGACCCAAAGGCACACGGACCAGCCGCAGGGTTCGCTGGGGAGCCGATGGCAGGACGTTAGAGAAGCTGCCTCTTCATGTGGGGCTATTGGTGACCGAGGAGGAGATCCACTACACGGATATTGCCAATCTGGTGGTCTGGTGTATGGCAGTGGGCATCTCGTATGTCAGTGTTTATGATAATCAAGGTAAGACTTTTATGATTCTTATGAATTTGGATTCTTGTGAAAAGATAATGCCAAGAATTTGAAGACTTCGAGGACAACACATACACTTAAGTTAATAATACACAAATATAGTTTATTGAACGTAACATTACACGTAGACATCATCTATATACTATATAACTACAGGACAACTATGTTTATATGTAGCAACTTTAACTGTTAAAAGCTATTAATAATGAAAGGTAATTCCTACCAATTTTAAATAAATATTGGAAAATAGAATGAAAACCAGATTAACAATTTCATTCTGATTTATATTTTAATTTTATTTGATTTGGTTAAAAGTGGCAGGAATTACCTTCCATACATAATCATTGCTAGTTAATTAGTTAAAGTTATTGGTTACTAATAAAGTTAGGGTACCTAATAACCTTAACTTTTCCGAATTTGATAGTAATTCAGTAATGTGCACCTTTTGTAAAGCTACCTTGAAACAATAATTATTGTGTTTCTATACAAATAGACTTGAATGAGTTCATAAGGGAAGTGGACTGAAGTCACATGCGTTCAGTCACCTGCTGTTTCTTCAGCACTCATGATTCAGGCAGATCTAGTGTTTTGCTGAAATACTTTAGTGTTTACAAATTACAAAATTAGATCTCTTTTTATTGCAAAGGTTGTTACATTGTCCCGTGTAATCTCCTATTGAAATAATATATAGAGGGAAAATATGTCTGGTCTTAGCAACAAAAATATTTCCTCACCAGCAAGTCCAAAGAAGTGTTTTTTTTTATGAATTAATTTAATCCTATTAAACAATTTTTGAGTTTCATTCTAATGTTGATGTAAAATGTTCATTTTTGTCAATTTCATACTGAAACTGCTTTTCGTTTGTTTTGGGATCGTAATTATGCTGTACAATTTTGGAAACACATTGGCTTATTTATTAATGATAACATGCAACAAGAAGTTTCTTTTACTTTTAAAGAAATTATTTTTGGTTATTAATCTGCCTCTACCTAAAGAAATACTTGTTTTGTTATAAATTTAATTTATTTTGTTTGCAAATTCCATATCCACAAATGCAAATTTACTAATATCAAACCATATTTTCCTATTTTATGCAAGAATTTAGTCATTATTTAAATTTAATTTCCTTCAAGCTTATATCATGTTCTTTATTATTATTATTATTATTCTTTCTTTCTTTCTTTCTTTCTTTCTTTCTTTCTTTCGTATCTTTTTTTTATTGACAATGTATTTTATATACTGTATTGTAAAAAAATATTGATATAAACTTGCCAACTGTTTTTTTTTTTGCAAATTAAAAAAAACTTTGTGGTATTGAGGTAAAGTTGATTTTATATTCGCATTTCTTTCAGTGACAACTTGTGACACAGTCCATGCGTTTTTTACCACGCTATACTTTGAATATAGACTCTTAAACGGCTTGTAGGTATGACCAAAACAACATTAGCACCATTTAATTGACTGTGAACGATGTGGTACTATCAAAGTTATTGGCTGCTAATATTGACCTATTTAGAATTTGCAAACAATTTTTATTAAATTAAATTAAGAAGGTGAAAGTCTGAATGTGCGAATATAAAACCAGCTTTACCCCAATAGATGTGATTGCTTTAATGCTAAAACATTTATTTTGTCAAGTTAAGTTGAAGTTTATTATCATTCCAAAGCATATTTATGAAATACCACCTTTATTTACAATAAAAAGACAGTTTTTTTGCTGAAATACTTTTTGTTCATATTTGGTTCCTTCAATGCTAAAACATATTTATTCTGTCTAGTTATTTTCATGTTTATTTTCATTCCAAAGCTTTTTTATGGAATGTCCAAGTTATTATGTTATAATTAAAATTTAAAAGTATGTTGCTGAAATACTTTGTTTAGACTTGAAATGTATTTTAGTTTTTTTCGTTCAATTCAAGTTTATTTTCTTTCTAAAGGCCCTTTACAAAAGTTGAACATTATTACATCACAATCAAAATAAGAAAGAGTTATGTATTGGGTGAACAGTATAAATATGCATACAGTAGTTAACGTGCAGTTACACTAAATATATAATATATATGTATGTGTGTGTGTGTATGGATAGTAGTTTTTAAAAAGATGACTTTTTGTTGTTGATGTTACATAAAAAGGTTACTGTTACATAGGTTTGTTTATATGTTTATACCTAAATAGTACATGTGTACACATCATCATAACCTCTGTCTTTCTAACGTACTGTATCTGTTTGTAAAATGTACCCTTGTTTTTTAAGCCAAATAGAAAGATTACCATGCATTTTACCATGATGTACAGAAGGCACACTGTAAATGTAATTTGTAATGTAAATGTGATGTAAAGTAAAGTGTTTCAATAGTTTATAGACCAAAAAAGCACATTTAGGATAAGAATCGATTGATGGTGTGTTTCTAATTTGCCTCTAGCGTTTAAGCCATTGGGGTTGACCCAGTTCTTAGCAAGAAGATTTTAAGCATTTAAAAATATTATACAATTTAGTATTATAACTTTTTTTGTTCAGGATTTATTAATATGTTTGATTTTTGCCATACATTTTAAACTTGATGCACCACAATTTCTTTTGTATTTTTTTTTTTTAGTGTTTTATTTTCACAAGTGTTATTTAAAAGCACTTAATTAAATTAAAGAACCACTTGCATTGATACGTTTTCTATTTGTGTAAAATCCCTCTAGAAAATTTCATTTGTGGCAGGCAACAAACACTGACCCATATAAATATATATATATATATATATATATATATATATATATATATATATATATATATATATATATATATATATATATATATATTATATATAAGATTCTGACGGTATGATAACCTTGGATAAATTATCACGGTTTCAAGGTATTGATTACCATACTTTAAAAAAAAAAAAAAAAAAAAAAAAAAAAAAAAAAAATATATATATATATATATATATATACATATATATATATATATATATATATATATATATATATATATATAAATAAATGCCTTTTGAACACAATATATTTTATTTTCAGAAACATTTTAAATATTTTGTAACAGTAAACACCCCAGCAGGCAAAGGATTTCAACATTTCAGATTAATGTCGCACCCCAACTTCAAGGGGACGTTGCATTTTGTTCGGAATTGAAAATCGGGTTGACATCGGAACCCGACGTTAATGTCCAACATCCAACCAAAAATCAACCAAACATCAACTATTTGGTCACCTAAATATTTTTGTCACCTGACGTTATGACCTACATCTAACCTAATATTAACGTCTGATGTTATGTGCCTGCTGGGATTTCAGGCAAAATAATTTTGATAAATCATTTAATCAATCATTCTGCTGTCATCATTTGCTTCAAAAACACAGATTTCTGTGCAATTTAAAACAAAATATTTTTTCAAAATATATACAATAACTTGCATGATTAAGTGTCTTCTCAGACTTTCAGTAGGGTTGAAATGTTTATTACACAAACTTTTATTCTCGCCTTTCAATTGTACAATAGTGTGTTTCTCTTTCAGCTCAGTGTGTTTCTCAATGAACTGAGGCGTGTTTGTAATATATTGCTTATAACCTTTGCCAGATATTTTAAAACTGCCAAGAGATTGATATGGGGGATCTGAGTCACATTACTAATAGTGATTTCCCAACTCTTTCCAATCCTGGTCCAGGAAAACCCACAATATTTGTTGTAGATTTCTGGCTTTTAAAGCACAAATGAAGGCTGCTTCTCTTCTGTCTCTTTTCCTTGTCTTATTTTGTCCATAGTTAGATGGTTTGTGTGAGCATATTCAGCAATTTTAAATAAAACAGATCAGAAAAAGAAAAAGATGATACATGCATCTTCTCATAGACCCTCCTCCCAAAGAAATCTAATAAAGTGGTCAAAAATGTACAAGAGAGATGGTTTAAACATGAATGTGTCTTCCTCATTCTTGTGATCTGATTGACCAAAATACATTTAGACAACTGAAATAAACAGAGGCTTTGTCACTCTTATTTCACAGGTGTTTTTAAGAGGAATAACTCCAGACTGATGGAGGAGATCCTGAAACAGCAGCAGGAGCTTTTGGGAATGGGCAGCTCCAAATATTCAGTGGAGATTTTGAAGAATGGTACAAATAAGCAGGAGCATCAAGGTGAGACTCAAAACCTGAATGTAAAGACTGTTGCCTTTTGTTTGAGACTCCCGCCGTGGGTGAATGCCTAAACAAACTGGTTGGATTAGAATATTCAGTCTAGGATGACTGTAGGTTTGGTCCTCTTTTTTTGTCTTTGAAATATTCATTGTTAACAACTTCTGTAGGTCACCAAATTTTTCCCCAAGAATGCCTGAAGCAATAAATCTTTTGAAGACGATATGAAACCTAAACCGGAGTGATACTGGTGGACACAAGGAAAACCTGATTTACTATCCGCTTAAGTCGTGACGTTGGGAATAATGTTTCCGGGTTCAAGCCGCTACTCATTTGAATTGAGGAAATATTTTATTGTTCGCTTTTTAGTCATATCACACAATAAAGTGAATTGAATTAAAATCATGTCGTACACAACCGTTTCTGGACTTGCTCCATCATAGACACCAATATATATATATATATATATATATATATATATATATATATATATATATATATATATATATATATATATATAGCGATCGTGATTTTCAAAAGTAATACTTAGGGCCAGACAGAATCTGTGGACATTTTTTGCTGTTTCTGCAGATATATTTGTAACAAAATATGCAGATTTATGCGGAATGATTTTAGAAGTATCATTACTAAAAACGTAATATGTGAAATAAAAGTAAAAAATGTATACATTTTTTTATTTTTATGTTTACAATGCAAATCAAATTCGATCCACTTATTTGGTAAACAAAGCACGTCTCTCATATAATATTTCTACTAAAAGACAGAAAATATTACTTTACAAACTTTATTATAAATAAATCAAATGAACTTTTTATTATTCTTATTATTATATCACAATAAAATTACTGAAATTAATTTAAAAACTGAAATATTAATTTTCACACGTTTACATGAGTAAATGCATAGACTTTATGATGGGCTAAAAATCTGCGGAAATCTGTAGACTTCTGCACACGCAGATTCCGTGTGGGCTTATTCGCTTTGTAAACGTTTATTATTACCATTTGTTGAGTCTCCCCATACAGTTTGATAGAGCTCTTGGACCGAGAAATCACTTCACGTGACGTCACACTTAACAAGCGGATTATTTTTTTAGGGCTTAACAGTGTTTTTCCCTGCTTATCCAGTTTGACGTGTAATTCCGATTTTTGCCCTGCCCAAATATTTGTATTGTTCAAAGGTTTGGTGAATTAAATAAATAACAGGCTTACTTTTTAAAATTCAGGATAAATGTGTTAAATTAATCCAACATGACCAGGAAAACCTTTATAATGCAGCAAAAAATTTCAATGAATCCTGTTGATTGACAATGAACAATTTGTTTATTATAGAATCATGCAAAAAATGTGGCATAGTATCTAATAAAAATATTTTAATATCCGGATTTGCTAGTTTATCATTTTTGTTGTTATTATTATTATTATTATAACTATTTATAATAGAAGATGACCAGCAAATTGGTATTTTATAATATTTTTTAAATGACAGTGTAGAAAGTTCAGCATGTGAGTCATGCACATAAATTAGACTTAAAAATATTAAAATGGAAACATTATTTTAAATGTAAAATATATTTCACTTTTTTATGCTTTATGCTTTCAAATTATACTGACCCAATCTTCAAAAGTCTATTAAGCAAGTTTAGGACTTTGATTTGATACCTGAGTAAAATATCACCATACCGATACAAAGCCAGTACAATAAACAAAAAATATGTAGAAGACTAAAAATAGAACTTGTAATTCTTTTATTATTTTTTTAAATTAAATCCTGAAAATCCTTTTTTCTGCATTTTATTAAAACTATATTTCAATGAACCCTGTTTGTTGACAATGGACAACTTGTTTATTAAACAATCATGCAAAAAATGAGACAGCATATATTTAAAAAATTGTAATATCCCTATTTGCTGCTTTTTATTTGCTAATATTTTTATTGTTATTGCTATAAATAATAATAATAATAATAATAATATAAGATAACCAGCAAATCAGGATTTTTAAAAAATGATTTAAATGACAATGTAGTTTAATGATGCTGAAAACTCAGTTTGGAGTCATGCATAAAAATTAGACTTAATTATAATAAGATGCAAACATATTATTTAAAATAAAAAATATATTTTGCATTTTTTTTTCCGCTTTATGCTTTCAAATCATACTGACCCAAGCCTTAAAGTCTATTTAGCAAGTTTAGGACTTTTCTATGATATCTGATTAAAATATCACAATACCGATACAAAGCCAGTACAATAAACAAACAATGTGTGCAAGACTGAAAAAAGAACTTGAACTTCTTTTATTATTTTTATTATTAAATCTGAAACCTCTGCAATGATGTTGTTGCACTGCATTTTGAGCATTTGATTACATATATATATATATATATATATATATATATATATATATATATATATATATATATATATATATATATATATCTCAAATGTTTGCAGGGCATGAAAAGGTGCCTACAATCAACAAATTAGACTCTGACTAAAAAAAATCTTTGATTAATTTTGTTTTCTACAGCGCTAAAGCTCTGTAACTTTGTATGGACTTGCTTGCAGGTTGTGACATGATTGCTGTTTTTAGCTCAGTTTATGGTGCATCTAAATTTAACATATAGACAGTTGACTTCACATTTAGTCACTTGATCCAGTGTACTAAAATCCTAATAAAATAGTGACCCATGTCCTGCATTGCCTGGGTTTTATCATCTTTTTAACTATTGTGTGCTCACTTAATGCTTATATTTTTTTCCTGTCTGTTTTTTTCATAGTGTTATCTTGTCAGTCCATGGTGAAGGTTTTATCTCCAGACGATGGACGGCTCAGTATCGTCCAGGCAGCCCAGCAGCTCTGTAGGGCCGTCGAGCAGAAGGAAAAGACATCAAAAGACATTAATGTCAGTGTGCTGGACTCATTACTCAAAGGTGAGGCACTGTGTGTTGGTCTACAGTCAGCGCAAACTAAGTTAAATTTAGCAGTATAATTAAGAGAGCAGTCCAACTATTACACTAACTATACACTATAAGTTAAAACTATACACTATGTTTATACACTATATTTTTCTGAGTATGAGTATGTATAATCACAGGTTTTGTTAGCAGAAACATTGATGCATAAATTCTTTATTTTGACAAATACATACATGGATTCTGTTCAGTTGCTTTTCCATTCTCAAGTAAAATATGTCGATAAGCATTAGAAGTTTTCAAAGTGCCTTGGGAGAGATTTCGAGGCCAGTCAAATAATTCATAGGCTGCTTTTTAGGCTGTAGTTTCTGTTGTCTTTTTCACACTGAAATAGCAGAATGAAAGAAAAGACTACAGTATAGCTCTTGGAAAGACTAAAATATGACTTGGAACACATTTATGATGCCAAGCAAGACAGCGTTTTGTTGACTTGTTATCTGTTAATAATATATTATTTAGTCTTTCATAATGCATTCAAAATGAATATTTTCTTTCTGAATTTGAGGTCGGTTTGGGCCCAAATAATAGTTTCTTTATTTACCAATCATAACATAATGTTTTACAACTAAACCAACTCGAGAGCTTCCTAAGCAATTGTATATCATTGACTAACCACACCCCTCATACCATTAGTTTGCTTTGAGAGAATGATGCACAAAAGAAAGCCCCGTCCCTACTCAATATTTTGTTTCAGCTAAAAGTACATCAACCTACTGAAATAAGTCTCATCAACTTCAGGTTCATGCAGACTACTATAATATTATGTGACACTTTATTAATTCATTATGTGATATAATAATGAATAATGATGAATAATAATCCAAATATAATAATAATAATGAATAATAATCCAAAATGTACAATCAAATAGTGGGAGAACATTTATAGCCCAGCCTCTGATTGCTTTGCTCCTGTGGGATTGCAGCCATCTGAGCTCACTCATCCTGGAGGATATGTTGTGTTTAGAGATGGATCTTTCTTGTACCAGCAGAGTGTGTGCGTGCGTGCGTGCGCATGCCGGTTCAGGACCTTTTCTGCTGTTTAGCCAAGAGACAATACTGTTCTTAGTATTCATCTTGAGAAGCTTCTCAGTCTCACCTTAAGGCTCAAAGAGATGTTTTTCCTTCAGCTAATGCCTGTTTTTTTATTTATATATATCTTTTTAGAGTCCAAAAACATACCTGACCCAGACCTGGTGCTGAAGTTTGGGACTGTGCAAAGCACTCTTGGTTTTCTTCCTTGGCACATCAGACTAACAGAGATTATGTGAGTATGTTTATAGATGGATGAGTTTGATTTTAGTTTTTAGAATTATGAGTATAGCTATTATCCTCTGTATTAACAGGCCTTTAATCTTACTCCATAACAGTAATACATGGAGACTATGAGATTTTTATTGTTATTACTGATAATATTATTATTATAAAAAATGAAGAATATTCTTTTAGGGCTTGTCAAATCTCTACTAGAGTTTAAATGTGGAGTTCTTCCTCATAGGTGACTGTACTACACATTATTATTATTTTCAACACTTAACTTTGAAAGCATGACAAACATGCATTGATCAGATGAACATTTTGCAATATTTAAAGGTACAAAATTTATAATGATAAATACATAAGAAACGCAAAGACTTTTGCATTTGCATATCTTAATTTCTTGCTTTCTATATCCTCTTACAGGTATATGTTCCTTGGTTTTAAGGGTACTATGGAGCTTTAAAATTATACCTAGTAAAACAACAAAGTTCTGCTTTATTTGAATAATAATAACAATTGTCATCCGTAGTCATTACTATGTTAAAACAGCAATGTTAACAGTTTTTTATTTGTGATAATTATTTGAAATTTTTAATACAAGTGCTATATCTTAATAATATAACTTATTGTATTCATTGTTTATATTGTATTGCACCACACTTATGGTGTTATTGAGGTGGGATACGGGTAAGGTTAGGCAGAGGTTTAGTGCTATGGGTAGGTTTAATAGTGAGTTAAGGTGTAAGGGATGATGGGAGAACAGTGTAATTATGAATGTAACTACAGAAATTGGTCCCACTTTATGTTAGGTGGCCTTAACTATTATATACTTGCATTAGAAAAGTAATACAATGTACTTGCTGTGTTCAAAATGTATTACAGAACACTTCTAGTGCTCTTGAGGTGGGATACGGGTAGGGTTAGGGACCGGTTTGGTGGTATGGGTAGGTTTAAGGGTGGGTTAAGGTGTAAGGCAGGGGTGTCCAAACTCGGTCCTGGAGGGCTGGTGTCCTGGAGAGTTTAGCTCCAACCCTAATCAAACCCACCTGAGCCAGATAATTAAGCTCTAACTTGATATACTAGACACTTGCAGGGAGGTGTGTTGAAGCTAAACTCAGCAGGACACCGGCCCTTCAGGACCGAGTTTAAAACTCCCCCGGTGTAGGGGATGCTCAACAGTGTAATTTTAAATGTAGCTACAGGAGTATTTACATGCAGGTATTGGTAACACTTTATTTAGATGGTCAATTTAAATACTGTCTGCTTAATGTGTTGATACTGCTCCTTCAACAGACATTTAAGTGACTATAAGAACTTTGCAGGTACATGTCAACTTACATCAACCCTAACCCCAACCTAACAGTCTACTTATCTAATAAAAATGAGTTGGCCTGTAGATGCAATGTAACTTAAATTCATCAAATGAACCATGAAAATAAAGTGTGACCCAGGTATAGTCAATCATTAGTACAATGTAAAAACGTGATTACACCGTAAGTACATAGTAACAAATTAATAATTTCAATAAAAGTACATATTAGTTAGGGCGTACTCTTACTATGTAATCGTGCAGAAGCGTGATTGTCCCCCCCCTCCCCCCTCTCCCGACAGCCTGCACTCACACTGCAATTTACAGTTAAGACAGTTTGTGTTCATTGGAATGGAGCACTTGCACTTGTCCAACGAGTCCGGAAAATGGAGGTCAAACGAGCTCAGCCACAGCTCGTATAGCTTAGTGTGAGTAAGCCCAGAAAATAATAATTATAATAGTTAGTAGAATTGGAGGAACCGTGAAATGATCTTCAACTCCAGAAAAAAGAACTTTACATTTAAAGACAAAAAAGTTACAGATGATAATAATAGTTAATAAGTTAATTTAAATAATATGTATAATGTAGAAACGTGTGTATATAGTAAGTGTATTGTACCAAATATTAATTGAAATGCAGGTGCATAGTAGTTAAGGACACTTAATCGAAAGTTGATATTAAGTAAAACAATAATATAATAAAATTTGCATGTATATTCTAGAGCTGCACAATTAATTGAAGAAAGATTGCAATCTCGATTCGACCCCCTAGACGATCTTAATCCAGCATTTCAACGATTCTGCCAATCATATTTTCAAGTTCAGGAGAGAAGCAAAGTCTTTTCATTGTTTCACATACATTGTTCAGCTATATGGACACCTTCAAATGATGTTTAAAGAGTCACATACTGTATTTAATAGGTATAATTCACCTAAAAATGTAATTTTTGTATTCATATAATGGCTGTATTCGTGGTCGGGAAATCACACGTGACGTGAGCTGCTGACTGTGAGCTGGAATTACCACAGAGAGGGCGGGTACGCGACCTACTTAATGATAGATACGCTCCCGTCTACTTTAGTGAACAGAACTTGCATAGGCTGTGAATACCAGGTAATAAAGTTGTATATAATATTCAGTTTGTGGCACAGAGTGATCGTTTGAGAGTCGTGCGCGAAGTATGAACAGCACTTAGCAGTAAAAATGGAACCGAAAGCGTACAATTCATTTAAATAATCATTTCACATTATAGAGATATGATTGCCACAAGCATTTGATGTTTTTTTCCTTTCATAGCAAACACACAGTTATGCATGAAAATAAATGTTTACAGTGTCAGTATAACTACTCTAGCCTATATAATGTTAATTTTACCAGTGAATAAAGTGGTCTAATAATGTTGTCAATGAGAGATTGCAAGCATATATCTCTAACATAATTCAACATCAGGATTATTACAAGTAGAATAGAATAATTTATGGAAACCAGTAGACCTATACTACATATAATATTGTTGTTGTTTTACAATATGTTTGAGAAAAACAATAATAACTCATATTAACCGACTCATATTAACCTTTATATTAACCTTAATATTAATCATATATTCCTTTTTTACTTCGACAGAATTGTTAGAAAATCGTGATCTTTATTTTAAGCACAAAAATCGCAATTCTGATTTTTTTCTCAAATTTTAATCAAAAATAAATTCGAGACATTTGCATTATTTGCTTAAAATGCACTCCTTTTTGTTTATCATCTGGATTCAAACAAGCTTTAATGCATAATCAGTCCGTTTAGTTCTGCTTTGAAGCATAAACTGTATGATGAATATTTATCAAACTCAAATATTTATTAAGCTCGCACTTTATCATTTTATCAAGGGAAAATTATAAATCAGAATCATTTATCACCCAGATTTTTTTTTACTTAATATTCTTCAGAAGTCCAGTATGGGAATATATAATGTAATCTAAATTATATGTGGATATAAAGATAATATTTTATCACCTTCATGATTGAACATTGTAGTTTACACATGTATTCATTTGTGTCATTGTGTCCGGAGAGTTCACTTTAAATCCCTTTTGTAACATAATCAGCACAGATTAACAGGTAAAGCTGTCCACGCTGGCAAGCCTTATCTGTGTGAGCTTTCCACGCATGCGTGATGACGTGTAGCTCTGTGAGATCACTGCACACTTACACCACATTGCATCATGCAGTGCACTGCTGAGACCCACTCCATCTAAAACTGATTCATATGCATGCTCGTTTAATTAATATGCATGGAGTTTGCGCCACATCAGATCGTCACTGAAGAATGCCGTTTAATTAATGTGCTCGCATTTTTGAGTCGAGCTCAAGGGTTTTTGTTCAGTTATTATACATGATTTCATGCCTTTGTGTTTGTGATCTCCTCTTTTAGATATGTCACTTCATGCTTTTGATATTATTGATCATTTATCTGCCACTTAAAAAGCTAAATCAGTCTACAAGCAAAGTAAAAAATAGTATAAAGAATTGGGACTGGAGCAGCTACAAATACACAATGTAAAAAAAATTATTTTATTTTTTATTTTGTACATATAGTGCAAAAATGGGGAATATAAGCCATAAAAGAAGTAATGTCAAAATTATTGTTACGTCCTTTAGATGTTATTAAACTAAGGGTATTTTAACAGTTTTGTGTGCGTTCAACCAGTAAAATATCACTGCAATTGATTATTTATTGCCCATACTATCAGTGAAAACAAGTGAAAATATTGTACAGTGAATGAAAAATATTTACAATATATAAATGATAATGATTTATCATTTAATAACAAAAAACAAATAATAACAAAAACATAATATATAAGACATAATAATGTCTTAAACATAATAATAAAAAATAATAAATAATAAACATAATAATATAAACATAATAAACGTAATATAAAGATAATGACAAAAACCCTTGTTGGAGAGGATAAAACTGTATTAAACTAAATATCAAAAAAGTATGAAAAGAAAAAACTTCAGCATATCAAACGTCTTAACTACTCTAACTAAAAAACAAAACAAAGGCAAAACAGCACACTTTCCTGAACCTAATGGAATAATGCAAAAATGAATCTGAGTGTTGTAAATGTACTGTTTATCGCGTGACTCGCTCAATTCTACACCTTCTTCGAGGTATTATTCAAAAAGTATCAGTTAACTGGATGAGTTCACGAACAACACATTGCAATCTCAATAGATTTTAAGCAAGAGCATTTATCACAAACCAAACAAAACTACATTCTCTCTCAGACTAGTCCTCGCAAGAGAGACTGCCCTCACAGAGAACCATTCACCACAAACGTCAAAGAAAGAGTGAGTGCGAGAGAGCGAGATATCGCTATTGCTGTTTGGGCCGGCTTTTTAAACACTATGCCACCCAGCGATTGGGGGTGCGATCCCAATTTTGTTTCGTACCTGAAACGCGTAAAACAACACCCTCACATACAGACAGAAGTGCGCACGCACATAACCCAAAAGTACGTTCTGCAAGGGAACGTAACAATTATGAATGAAAAAGTGTGTGATACTTTGAAAAAAGACACAAAAAATCTAAATAAATTAAAAATCCTGTTTTAAAATATATTATGATATTTGATGAGATGCTTAAGTCAGAGTCTGTTTTAAATGGATTGTGTGAACAGTGGACAGGCTTTTTTTTTTTTTTAAATAATTTTTTTAGACAAAAAAACAAAAAATATACAGACAAACCCATCATGAAACAATAATCTGTGCAAAATGTAAAATAAAGCATGAAACAGAAAAATGGCGACCAACAAAAAGAAGCCGCAATGGATGTAAAGAGAGAGGGTAAGAGAGAGGAAAAAAAAAGCAACTCGCAAAATCTTCAGAAATGAAACACTATTATCAGTCTTTATGTTGTGTTTGCAAAATTTGATCAAATGAGGGATCCAGTGTTTTTTTTCCAGAGTTCCCAAAGGTTGTATATCTAACTCTTTTAAAAAAGAGGCCTACATTTTTTGCTTCCAGAAACAAAGGATAACTTTCTTAGCTATGATCATGGCTGAATGGCTAACTGTACACTTCTGTTAAGATTCTCCAGAAAATCTGACCAGCCAAAAATTGCTATAATTAGGTCAGGGAGGTAAACACCATCTTAAACCTAAGCAAAAAACTGAAATTTGTCTAACTAAGAACTCAGGACCAAACATGAATGATTATTTTAGTTTGTGGTTCTGATCTTCCTCTAGATGGCAGCGTGTCTTTATACAATCTCACTGCATTATTAGCAAACTTGATCTCTTTTATTTCCCTTCCCATGTGACATCACACATTCAGATTTATAAGCCTCGGATGGTGTTTGATTGTTGCCTGATAACACATCTGTTTTCTGTTAATCTGGGCTGATGAATCTAAATATTCTTTTGTGATTTTTATCTAAAGAGAAGCGATTGCTCAATTGATATATAAAGTTTTGGGTGTGTAAATGGCTGTATTTTAATTATATCAGTTGAGTTACACAGAGGATACTGAGCTCATTTGACCATATCCAATCATATTTATTACACTAAAACCAAACCCATTTGGAGATGACTGACATTGTATTTATTTATTTTTTTGTTACTTTTAGGGTAGCACGATACTGAAAAGATCTGACATTGCAATGTTTTATTTTTCTGCTATAAATATTATGATGTAAATACATTTGATGGTTTTCTGGGGAGCCTAACAGTATTCAGGTACAGAAATTGAACAATCTTAATGCAAAAAATGCTTTTCTTACTTGGCTTTTGTTTCTAGAAGGCTTTCATTTCTAGTTCAAATATCTAAAAAAAAAGAAATCTTAAATCAAGTAAAAATAATGTTTTGTTTTAAAATTCAGATGAAATAAGGCAAGATTAAGAGTTTTCCTTAAAACAAGCAAAATTATCTTCCTGTGGGCTAAGTAAATAATGTTATTTTCGCTTTGAATTTTTGTCTTTGTTTCTAGTCCAAATATCTACATTTCAAAGTAAGCTAAACTTACTTGACTTGCATAAATTGTATAGATGCAGTGGTTAAACACATTTAGGCAGCTCCTGGTATTATAGACAACTATAATCCAGACTCCACATTGCATATCTATTGCGGGTCTGCACATTGCAATTTTGATGCTAAAATGATACATTGTAAAGCCCTAACTACTGTTCTAAAGTTTGGTATTGGTGAGAAATTAGTTCTTTAATTTTGCAAAGAATTGCAGTGAATTGATCAAAGGACAGTAAATAATTTAATAATGTTGGGAATATTAAATTAAATTGTTTTTAAAATGGCCAATTAGAGGGTTCTGTAAAAAATATACTTAAATGAGTACTCCATTTAAAAAAAAAAAATGTATCCTCAATTTCTCAGTGAATGAGTTTTTTAGATGCGGAGATTATGAAATTCAAAATTTGTAATTTTAGATAAATTTTTAATTATAGTATCTGTATTATTATGCTGCACATGCTGTATTCATAATGAGTGGGGAAAAAAAGCTTTCCATGAAATCAGGGTTCACCTATCCCCATACCTGTCAACCCTCCCCTTTTTTCCGGGGATTCTCACATATTTAACCATTTTATCCCACTATCATCCTGTTCAAGTATTTTCTCTTATTTCTTCCAACCCCATACCTGTCAACCAGTTTTTGCCTGGATTCTTCTGTATTTTACCATTCCATCCCACTATCATCCTGTTTAAGTATTTTCCCTTATTTCTCCCCAACCCTCCTGTTTTTGCCTTGATCATTCAGTTTTTTGCCATCTTATCCCGCTATCATCCTGTTTAAGTATTCTCCTGTATTTCTCCCATATTTTTAATATTTCTATGAAAAGTGAAAGTAGCATCAAAGAGCCGATCTCAAATGTGATGTAATTGCAAGAGCTTTTCAAGAGAATTATGCTTTCGCTTTATATTGGCTTCAAAGTATGTTGAAATGAATGTTATATTTATGGGCGTATCACATATTTTTACATTCCAATGTTGACAGGTATGCCTATCCCTCCCAAATAAACCTATTTTATCCAATTTTTTAATATTCTTTTATGTTTTTATTTCTTATAATTATTGTTTATGATTATTTTAATCTGATTAGATTAGATTAGATTCAACTTTATTGTCATTACACATGTACAAGTACAATGCAACGAAATGCAGTTTAGGTCTAACCAGCAGTGCAATAGCAGCAAGTGCAGGATACAGGAATAAGTTATAAAGTGCAGTTATAGAAAAACTATGGTGATATTTACAGATGGATGTACTATGAACATTATAAACAGGTTGGATAAGCTATGAACAGATTTACACTATACGAATATATGTGCAGGTTGCTATTAATAATCAGTAGTGTGCAGATAGATAAACATGATTACAAGTGTATATGTTACAATATATGAATATATGTACAGGGATAGATGAACATGATTACAAGTGTATATGTTACAGTATATGAATATATGTACAGGTTGCTATTAATAATCAGTAGTATGCAGATAAATAAGCATGATGACAAGTGTATATGTATAGTGGGTGTGTACATAATTACAAATGCCCATATGCAGTGGGTATGTACAGTTCAATAAGTAAACAGTTCAATGTGGTGCAGTGAATGTGCAAATTTTAAACGTGCAAATGTTAAGCAGTGCAGTTATTGCGAGGAGTTTAAGTTAGAGGAGAGTGGGGGGTGTATTGGGGGGGCAAAAGAGTCAGTGTGGGGCAGAGTTCAGGAGGGAGACCGCTTTATTTAACGTGCTTTATGTATGTAAAGCACTTTGAATTTCTATTGTTTGAAATGTTATAGAAATAAACTTGCCTTGCCTTTGAAAAAAGATTAAAGTTATTTTTATTTTAATGACAAGTTAATTATATTTGTATGTTTTGTACTTCCTAAATATATGCATTAAAAATCCTACTTAATAAAATAAAATAAAATAAAATAAAAATAAATAAATAAAAAAAATTTCAATTTTTTTTTTCTCCCCACCTGTAGCTCAATGCCGTCCCACATAGACGCCTCTTATGACGACCTGTACGATGCTCTTCAGCGTTTTGCGGGTTGCGAGCAGCGGCTGGGCAAGTGAAGAGCAGAGAGCAGAACAGAAGGACCTGAATGAGTGAGAGGGATTGGAGGAGCTCCATCTCTCTCTCTTCATGTTTACAGTAGAAGCACTGGAGCCTCAGCGCCAGCAAAATCCGCTGCCGCTGCTCTTCATTTCTGCTCATCTCCGCCAAGGCGTCTTTCTCTCTTTGTGTGTGCGTATGTGAGATGTACTTGTATGTTTGTGTATGTGTGAGTAACTACACGCTGAAAAGGATGCAAGGACGTTTGTCCACTAGCAAGCCGGATGCAAGGAACATTAAAGGATTCGTGATTCGCCATAAGATGTAATTGTATAGTCACTATTTTTATTTGGCGTGTTTTTGGACATGGTTTGAATGGTGCACTGAACTTTATAGAAATTGCATACAGTCATCTATGGAAGACTGTTTTCATCATTTAGAGTTAAAAAAAGATCATAAATGTGACTGATTGACTGAATTTCGATATATATTTTTAGAGGTCTAAAATCTCACAATTCCTTTGAATTTATACCGTAAAATGGCAAGTTTTTTGTCTGTCTAGAATTTGGACTATTTTTGCAAGAAATTTCTTTATATAATAAATCATCTAAATTAAGTAGAACCAAAATTCTGAGTGTCCAAGTACTTAGAAATTCACTATTTAGACTTTAGAGCAGGGGTTTCCAAACTCAGTCCTGGAGTCTTCGATGTCCTGCATGGTTTAGCTCCAACTTCCTTCAACACACTAGCCTGAAAGTTTTAGTATACCTAGAAAGAGCTTGATTAGCTAGTTCATCTGTTTAATTGGGGTTGGAAATAAAATATGCAGGACACTTGCTCTTCAGCACCGAGTTTGACTGTTTAGGTTTTTTCACGATTTCCCACATTTCTGAGATTTCTTGCAATTCTTACATCATTTCTCTTTTTTTTTTTTTTTTTTTTTGTGGAGTCCTCAAATGTGACAATTGTATTCTATTTATACGTAACTTGAGGTTACTGGGAAAAGTTAAAAATTTATATATATATATATATATATATATATATATATATATATATATATTGTTACTAGTGAGTGAACCTGTTGCATTAAAAGCGACTAGTTGACTTAAAGTAAACCTATTTAACTTGGAAATGTGTAGTTGACTTAAGTTATTTTCTATTATTATGGTTTACAAGGTTTACACACTTTAAGTAAAGTCAATTGATTGCTTTTTACAGTGAATTCTGACTTTCCCCTTAAAATCTTGAGTTGATTATTAAAAAAAGAAGACACAATTGTCACATTTATTGAGAGCTCTGCAAATATAAAGTCAAAACTACTAGATGGCAACTCAGAAATGTAAGAATTGCGAGAAATGGAGCCAGAATTGTAAGATCTAGGGAAAAAGTCTAAACCGAATTAAGTCAACTAACCTCTTTTTACAGTGAATTCTGACGTACTTGAAATCTTGAGTTAACTATTTTGAAAAAAGCACAATTGTCGCATTTAGTCAGAGCTCTGCAAAAATAAATTCAAAACTACAAGATAGAAACTCAGAAATGGAAGAAATGGAGCCAGAATTGTGAGATTTAGTGGAAAAGTCTAAACCGAATTATCAACTGATAGCTTTTCACAGTAAACCCTGACTTTTCCCTTGAAATCTTGAGTTAATTATTAAAAAGAAGACACAATTTTCACATTAATAAGAGCTCTGCAATAAAAGTCAGAACTACAAGATAGATACTCAGAAATGTAAGAAATGGAGCCATAATTGTGAGACAAAGTGGAAAAGTCTAAACCGAATATATTTAGTAGTCAACTAATTGCTTTTTTATAATGAATTCTGACTTTTCCCTTAAAATCTTTAGACACAATTGTCACATTTAGTCAGAGCTCTGCAACAATTAAGTCAGAACTAGAAACTCAGAAATATAAGAATTGTGAGAAATAGAGCCAGAATTGTGAGATATCGTTGAAAAGTCTGAACTGAATCAAGTCAACTGATTGCATTTCACAGTGAATTGTGACTTTCCTCTTGAAATCTTGAGTTAACTATTAAATGATGAACATTTAAGCAAAGCTCTGCAAAAATAAAGTCAGAACTACTAGATAGAAGCTCAGTAATGTCAGAAATAGTGAAAAAAGTCCAAACCAAATATATTGAGTAGTCAACTAATGGCTTTTACAGTGTTTTGATTATACATTTTGCTATTCTGATTTTCATTCTTTGTTTATATCTTGCAATTGTGCTTTTAGCTCTCAATTATTAGAAATAAAACTCAGAATCGTGATCTGTAAATTCCATAATTCATGTAAACTCAATTACGTAATATAAACTCTCAATTGTTAGTCAAAATAGTTTAGTTTTTTTTAACCAATGATGTAAACAGTCTTCCATAGTCGTCTGTCTTTACGCAGCAAATGGAGAGGAAAGCGGAATAAGTAACTGATGAAATGTTCTAATAGTTGCACAGCAGACTTTTCTACTCTGAATCATCTGCATGCTAAATCTGTCTTATTGCAACATGGCGTTCCCATTAAGGCTTTACACGCGTGCGGTAAATGGTTGTGTGTGCGTTCGTGTAATTGTGTTCGAATGTGCGCGTGCGTGCGTGCCACAAATAACACCAATTAGCATTAAACCCTGAAGTTTGTAATTCTTAGTGCATAAATTGATTGCCCCCCCTTGAATGCTCTCGCTGTTTCTAATAGCTCGTGGCGCTGATTATGTTTTTATTGATTTTTATTTGTTATCATCAGTAAATATTGTTTCATTCACGTTATTTTTTTTTCTCAGTCAACATCTCTATGGATCAGAAAAGTTTTATATGAATATTTTGTGAGATCTACGATTGTTTGTTCATAAAAACGCCACAGGCTTTTCATGGTTCTACTCACCTCGATGACCCTGTGAAGAATCATAAATGTGTAATTCATGGGTTTGCGTTGGAGGGTTTGTTTGCTAGTGTCCAGCGTGAATGTACAATAAAACGTTACTGAAATACGGTGGTGGTATATCGAGAGTGGCATTGATTCTTCTGCGCAGTGGAAATGAAGGGAGGAATGATTTTCTGTTGCGGCTTCACCCTCACTTCCTCCTGACTGGTGTGTGTATTTTGCTTTTAACTTCTGTGTATTTCATCTGACAGTTCTTCATCTGGCTGCCACTTTTATCCAAAGTGACTTGCGTTCAGGCTATATATTTTATCGCTGTTCACTGGGAATTGAACTCTTGACATTGACATTTCAAGCGACGTGCTTTAGCTCTCACAGGGACTCTTCTACTGTTTTGACTACTCCACAAATATTACTAACACAGTCATTTATCCATACTCTTCACATGCAGTGCTTTTAGGATTTTTGGGGCTGATAAACAGAGTGGACATCAAAATTAGAGTACAAAAACATCTTTAATTATTATTTTTTTCCCAGAAATAATGTAGTCTTTATTGTTAAAAGTCTGCATTGCCACAGCCATATCACTCTGCAGCCCAAGACCAGCACTGAAGCTAAGCAGGGTTGAGTCTGGTCTGTACCTCGATGGGAGACCACACGGGAAAAGTAGGTTGCTGTTGTAAGTGGTGTTAATGAGGCCAGGATGGGGCGCTCAACCTGTAGTCTGCGAGAGTCCTAATGCCCCAGTATAGTGAAGGGACACTATACTGTCAGTGAGCACTGTCTTTTGGATGAGAGATTAAACTGAGGTTCTGAATCTCTGTGGTCATTAAAATCACATGGCACTTCTCGCAAAGGGGTGTAGCCCTGGTGTCCTGGCCAAATTCCCTCTATTGGCCTTTACCCATCATGGCCTCCCAATCATCGCCATCCTCTGAATTGGCTTTATTACTGCAGGGTTCAACGCTTAATATTTTTTCTTATTGCCTAATCAGGCCAGTGGTTCAGATTTTTACAAAATTTTCACTGGCCTCACTAAAAAAAGGCCCTACCATCTTTTATAAGCGAAAATGTGCACTTTAATTTTGACACCCAGAGACATCATCACCAAATATAAATCAGAGGTAAAAATTTCTTATACATAAATGAACAAAACAACAAAACAACAGGCCTAATACAAAATGTTATGAGATAAAAAAATATGGAAAAATTATCAGATGGTAATTTTGGTCAATTTTTCTAACGAATAAACAGCTCTGGGAAATATTTCAGCATGCTTTTCACTTTCGTATTCAAAATAAAATGCACGTTTACCCGTAGAAATGATGACCGTTTTTGCATTCAAATTGACGTCATAGTTCCTCCAATCTATTGACAAACAGTCGCAGCCTAATAAAACATTAGTAAACATTAGTAAAAAGGCAGCTTTGGCCCAATCGTACCAGCAACCTTCCTGTCTACTGTCTCGAGCGTCTCACATGATACCCAGGCCTTTGGGCAGTCCTTATTATCGAGCTACGTTTTTGTCTCTCCACTCCACCAATAGCTGGTGAGCGCAATGGCGCAGTTGTTCTGTGGCTGCTGTGTCATCATCCAAGTGGATGATACACACTGGTGGTGGAGTGGAGAGACCCCTCCTCTTCTTATGATTGTGAAGCGCTTTGGGTGTATAGCCATAAACAATTAAAGAAAGACAGAATTTTGGGGAGGGTTGGGGTTAATGGTTTTAATACACATTGTCATTTCTAATTTAACGTAATTTTTCATTTGTTAGTTTTATTTTTAAGTTTAGTTAATATTAAGATTAGTTCATTAGTTAAGATTAGTTAATATGCTTAAAGTAATCTCTTCTATTTATTTTTAAATAATTATTCATGGAAACTTTGTAATACAGCTTTATATAAATTTACCTTCTGCCCACAGCCCTCAATCAAGTTTGTTTTTGGCCCTTCATAAGAAAAAGATTGGGCACTCCTTGTCTAGTCTTTTGATTGTTTTTGCTGATTTTTGGTCCAAATTCTCCTCTTCATCAAGACCCTGTATTTGGAGATGCTGATATTTACCCCATTCACCTCAACTGGTAAGTCATTTCAAACAGTTTCTCCATATTATAATAATATTATTTTCTACATTAGTCCACTAATATAGTCTACTTAAAGGATTGAATTCGATCACTCGGTGAAGATACAGTTTTGTTTGTGCTTTGGTGTTTGATTAATCCTTCCAACGGATTAGATTTTCTACTTCTTGGTCAGACCTTGTTATAAGTATTTAACACTTTGCAGGTATTACTAGTGAAACAAATACTTTTGAGTTCTGTCACAAATACAAACTTTAATATTTAATTTTGAAACTATCGACCAATAGGATTTTGCTTTAGATGCCATCTTATGGTCATGCTAAAATTCTTTCAGCACACACACAGTGCGTTATGGAGATGTTG